AATGTTTTTAACATGAATTATTGGGCTGGGGATCAAGTGTGTCCACTCTCCCCTACTGAGTAGATGTGGGTGATTTTGGCGGTTACTTACTGTGTATAATACGTATTTGACATGAGTTTTGAATTCAATTCAGGTTCTGGCTACTGCATTCGTGACATTCGGAGTATTCCCGTGTGTGGCCAGTAACAATTCTGTAAGACATTAATAAGTCATTCTGGAATCAGTCCACTGGTTTCGATGATGCAACCATAACTTATTCGTTCCGAGAGAACTATGGTCTGGTGCCAGATTCACTTCCCTGCGAACACCTCGGAAATACTTGCTGAATATTAATTTCGTGGCTCGGTTTGACGGTATGATTTGATATGTCTTGTGATGGGTTTAGGTTCAAGACAACTTCGATTAAATTTTTGGATTTGGCCAATGTGGTCCTGTATCCACCATATAGCCGTCAATCTGGCCACTTCCCTTGAGTCACCCGGAATGTGTTGTCACAAAAGACACTTTTTTTGTTTGTTCAGTTTGGTGGAATATGCGCTATATTTATAGAAAACAATCTTTATATGATCTGCATGCCGCGAATACACTTGGATGAGCATTATTTGTATAATAATTATGAACACTATATAACAACTATACAAAAACTATACAAGTGTGACCATGGATGTGCTCATAAATTATTATACAAATAATGGTCATGTTCATAGTTTGTCATACAAGTGTATCAGCGGCAGTAGAATGGTACACAAGAGTGATCCCAACTAACCACCAAGCCCGTTAATAGCCCGATAAGGGCCCTTTTTGCAACAGATGGCTGATATACGACTTTCAGTTTTTATATTAGCTTTATATTAGCATTATGTTGCACTTTTTTCATTACCGGGCTTGATGGTTACTTGGGATATGTTCAATTAAAGCCATCCCAAGAAACTAGAGAAGTATCAAGTGCATTAAATAAAACATACATAGACTTATTTTGTCCATGCTTCCAGATCAATCATGTTGTCATTTATCAACACATCATCGGAATATCCTTTTTCTCACGCTACAACGGTAATTCGACGCTCACTAAGAGTTTAAGAGACTTAAATGTTTATAAAACGCACACAAATTGCAACCACATTGTCGTCGCAGAACAGTTCTGCGTGCTCAAAGTCGAAACGTTTCATGTCGTCTTGTGAAAACAAGTAAAACGTTCTTGACCACAGTTGAATAGTAAAAAAACAACCATTATTGACATTCGATATGGACTCACTCATCGTCACTCACACAAGTATGAAGCGTGAAATTAGTCATATGTATAACTGTTAACGACAGAAAATTAATGAGTCCCAAAAACAAAACCAACACTGTGTTAGGTACACGAGTTAAAACCATTCTAGCTAAAAGAAAAGAAATCTATTGCTCTACTACCTTAATCTTTCACTCTTGGCACGATTTTTCACGGTGGCTCACCCATTCAAGTAAACTGTCACACTTAGCTATCCTTAACATTGAGGAAATATTTTTCACAAACACACTCATCACCCATTTAGATCACAAACACGTACATACCTTTTCTTAGACCTTTCACATCTTAACGAACGAAGCAGATCACAAACATTTTAATAGGTAAACTAAACAATTGCATGAGCTAGGAACAAGCAACAAATAACCGCATGATTTTTTTAGTCAAAAGAAAGAAACGATGATGGATGAGAGTCGTCAAACACTAAGAACAAAATTGAAATAAAAGGTTAACTTCAAACGGAAACAAAAAAAATAGAACTATTCAAATATTTTATTTTTTGAAAGCAAACAAATGAAAAGAGTACTATAACAATGAAAAAGGGAAGAAAATACGTTTATATACATAGGTATAGAGAAACAAAAAAAAACAGAAAAGTGTAAAAAGATATAACAGATATCGACTTAGGCGAAAACATTCCAAACATAATTCAAAACAGTAAACAACAACTAAAACAACAGCAGCAACAACAACAAAAAAGACAACAAGAGAATATAGAAGAAAAAATCGATCGTTTTACTTTTAAGGTAGACGAGATTTCTTTTAAGAGCATTTTTGTACAATTTTACTCGAGTACGCGAGGCCGATTTTGAGAAACTTAAACCATTTAATACTGGGTAGAGAGCCGAAAAGAGTTTAAGACCGGTACAGCAAATTGAAGCCACAGATGACACACTCAAAACAGAAAGCTGGTCCGTTAGTTTTTATTACTGTTATTAACGCTATCATCGCACGTCCGTCGGGTGGTGCTCATCCGGCTGTGATCCACCCTACGGGTCCTGGAAGCAACGTTGCTTTGAAAGGACAAGTAGGTAATGGGAAGCCACAGGAAGGCCAATCTGCAGTCGAGACAGTGATGATGATTGATGATGCAAAAAAAACGAAAACGACTGGGTACTAGGTATTATACACACACACATGTAGGCATAGACATACGAAGGATCTTCTACCACCTACCTATAGCCATCATGCACGAAGCATGAGGTTCTACTACTGCCTGGCTCAAATTCATCATCTAGCTGCTCGAAGAACCACTTCCGGCCGTCGTGCGATGCCACGTGTAGGAAGAAGATAAAGATGAAAACAAAAGAACGAAAAACTTATTTCCCAGCTGAAATTGGGCGACAGTTGTGCGAGAGCAACAACGCAGTAAAAAATGTATGCGAGCGGAAAAATGATAAGTGATTTTATTGTAAATGAGAAAATGGAGGAAAAAATGAGTCTAAGAAAAAAGAGGAAAATAAATGAATCTGTAAAGTAAAACTATATGATTGTTTCTGTCTGTCCTCCCCTTCAGAAGACTAGTGCTTGACTGGAGTCAAAGATGCATCATTTTTCATTCGATGCTGGTATCGGTTTTTGTCTTCAAGGCTAATGTGGCGTGTGGAGGAAGTTATTGTGAAATAAATCTGAGTGGATTAGTTTACTGACAGTGAGTCTTCGCTGGTACTCATGTTTAGTCTCAACAAGAGTTTACTTTTTATGGTATATTTGTTGTGTTCTTCCAATATTGATCCACGATAATTGTAATCGACAATACCGTGATTATTTACAGTACTTGTTTACAATTTGAAAAGTACTCCATTAGAATTCTTGTTGACTTCAAATAAGAGATCGAAAATCTTGATCAGCTAGAAGATAAGCGACGCATCAAGTGGACACTACACGATTGCTTTTATTGACAATTGACAATATGATAATTCTATATTGACGTCAATTACTTGATATTGACAATATTATAATTCACATCATAAATATTATTGTCAATAATTCCCCTTCGCGTCAATATATTGATACGTTTGGGGTTGGCAAATATACTTTTGAACATAAAAACCAATAAGTCATATAAAAAATTAAAAACCCTCCTTAAAATGTTTTAATTTCGTTACAAATTTTGCAAATAAAAAAACTGCCCATGTTCGTCGTTAACAGCATTGTCACGGATAATTTACATGGTTTTTCTTGACAATAACTGTTAGCTCAAATGAGTGGCCAAATCAGAATTTTGAATATCGCCATGTTTGCCGAGATTTTGCAGCACTGGTCAAGAGAGCTTTTAAATTACATTCACATCATCGAATGGTTTCAATAAGATATTTAATGTTTTCCAAACTATTCTTTCATGAAGTGAAAAATCTCGTGGAGTAATAACAACAATCAATACGAAACTAACGATTTTATAATGGCTCACTACTTGACTAGCCTATTGGTCCCAAGCAAATTGATTAACGTATCCCATTCTAGTATAAATTCCAGTACTACACTATATTTGTTTTGATTTGCTATGAAAGTTTGACAGATAAAATGAGGGGTTAGTGGATTTTCCTATGTTTCGAGGCGTGAATCGATTAGCTTGGGACCGAAGATAACACCAGAGATGTGCCAAAAAGTCGAGCTCGTTTCTTCGTGACATTCTGGTCTTAGAGTTACCTTGATGGTAATAACATGCTCATTATATAATAGTATAAATGCTCTCAACAAGCCGGTGCCGGTGGTGTGGTGGTAAGCGTGACTACTTTCTCACCCCAATGGGTCTGGTCATGTCTTCCTTAGGAAAGGAAGTAAATCGGTTGGTCCCGGCCCATATGTGTTTAAATGGGTGCGATATCCTACGCAGGTGTGGAAGCTTCCTTTCTGTACATTCGATGTCCGTCGGTGATTGGCACTAGATTGCGGAACATAGACCGATGTTAATTAAAGGAAAAAATGCTCTCAACGTTGACATTTATAAGTCAAAGGCAAATTTTGACAAAAAAAAGTATGGAGAAACCTGTGTACTTCGGACTCACTCAATGTGATTGTCACTTGGGAGCCAGTGTGAACTGTCAAACGGGAGCTGAACACTCAGAAGCAACAACAAAATCCATGTTTCGTCAAGTGAGTGTAGAGTTACCGTGGACCCCCTTTAATTCGAACGACATTTCGTGCATATTAATGGCATTGATTTTTTATTATCAACTTCTAGTAACCCTACGAACATTAGAAAAACGAATTTATGGTAGCCTTATTAGCTGTTTTGTTTTGATTCTGCTTTCCGTTTTGCATCGTTCCATTTCGCTTTTCTCTATTCCATGTGCTAAATGACGTTTGACCATTTTTTTTTAGTTTTCACGGCGTGCAGATTAGCGTAAAGTCCTACAGTTAAAGCACAAACGAAGTGACAGACGACTAAATCAATTGAAATAAAAAAGAAATCAATTGAAATAATGTGGTTCACTGTAGTAGAATTTTTAGAAGCTTGTGCCATCAGCCACCAGATGGGCTAGTATTTTTGTTTTGATTGAACAAAGTTGATTTTGTGTGCAATTATTGTGTTGAGAAGATATCTTACGTGAATCTGTCGTAAAACCTTCGATGAGGACAACGATAATTTCAGGAATGCAAAAAAAAAACTCTTAAGTAGTCAATGAAACACCAATGGATTCGAATGTTAGATTATTGCAATTTCAACGTAGTGAGTGAAAAACTATCTTTTTAAGTTATTAAAACGGTATTTAATGTGTATAGAATCACTATATTTACATTTTTCTCTAGTAATAACATCGTTGGCGATCTGGACTTACAAAATTTTGTAAAAATTTCATAAGAAATTACCTACTGCTTAAAATTTAGTCACAATCAACTGATTTTGCAATGGAAACCTGCTTGAATGAGATCTATTCGTATAATCGAAAGCATGAAGTCTCTGTGTCTATTTCAAATAATTCGAAGCAGTGGTGATAAATAAACTCTAAATGAATGACCATTCTTATGTCGGTTTCGTTTTAGCGTGCACTACACCGGTATACTGATACACACGTACAGTAGGGTGCTTCATTCTGAAAAAAGTGATGAATTTCTGATGGGCCACCCTCCAGTTCGATTCATAGCCCCAAAATATGAACCTGTGCAAAAATTGGTAAAGATTGATGAAGGTTTAGAGGTCGCGCCAATGATTTGAAATTTGTATGGGAATTACTATGGAAGAATTTAAAAAATCGCTTATATCGCTATAACTTTGCTTCTACTTGTCCAAATGTCGAAAAAATTTAGTATGTTATTGCTATGGCAATAAACAAAAAGCCTACAGTTGCTACGCTCAGTTTTGCAGCGTATCAAGAATTATAAAAATGTGAAAAAATGGCAAAATAGGGTAAATTGACAGATGAATATGTACAAGGCAACAACGCCAATTTCATCGCAACAACAACAGGCTTGTTGATCATTGTCATGACAACCATATATTTTTTTTTTTCAACGTTTGGACAACTACTACCAAAGTTAGAGCAATGTAAACGAAAATCAATAATTTCCCATACTAATTCACCAAAATCTCCATACAAAATCCAAATCATTGGCGCGACCTCTAAACCTTCATCAATCTTTACCATTTTTTGCACAGGTTCATATTTTGGGGCTATGAATCGAACTGGAGGGTGGCCTATCAAAAATTCATCACTTTTTTCAAAATGAAACACCCTAACGTACAGTCATCATTCGCTGGCTGGGGCACAATCTCATCCCATCTACCGAATGGCATTCGACAATTAGGACGGTTTTGAAATTGTTAAACTCACGTTTATCACCCGAAAACAGCTCACTAGATCATTTTAAGTACCAACAATGAAATGTCAAGGCTAGTTTGATACAATTTTCTGAAGGATAATTACTTTTTAGTTGGGACGTCACCCAATTACCAAACTCCCAACTAAAAAGCACCCGAGCAACGAGCGAATGATAACTGTAAACATCGAATGTAGGTTTGCTTAAAAACAAATGATACTGAGCTGTCGATGACTTCTTGGCTTGTTTGACGTCACTACACGAAAACGACATTGAAGTGCGTTGATGATGATGACATTGAAGCCAATGTCAAACTTTAACAAAAAAAAAAACATCTGTTCACATTTTTTTGAACTAACCTTCCTGATACAATACATTATTCATAGTGCAATAAAGTGATTATGTTGCTTCTGATGGAAATAATAATTTACAGATTCATCAACATCTACAACTAAAACTGGAGTGTTCTAGATTTAAAGCATGTCAACCTTCCTTGACAACACGTTAACTATTCTGTGCGTTTTCATTTTTGATGTTTTAAATAAGAACTCATTAATTCTAAATAGGAATCATTCAACGACACTTCAACAGAAGTATCAAGTTATACAAAAAAACACTGTGGCATCAGATTCATGGTGAATGTTCGGATTTACAGATGTGTGACAACAATGTCCTCTTCCAGTTCATCCTTTTCGTCATCATCCTCGATTTCTTTGCGCTCTGCCTCGGTCTGTTGCTGCTTGGGTGTTTCGTCCAGCTTCTTGAGGCGACGTTCCTGTTATTAAGAGAAGGTGGGTATCATGAGATGCTGCGATATGTGGTTGCTAATGATAGGATTTTAATGAGAAATATGCATTATTTTATTCCGTCACCAAACTGTACTTTTTGTAATATATAATCAAAGTTTTTGTTATAAATAATCAAATATGCTCTCGGTAAAAAAAAATATTAAAAGTTTGTTCGTCCTGCTGTTGTTTTCAAAACGTCCGGATTTTATTGAAATTTTTACAAAAAAAACTTTAAAAAAAACAATAATAGGTTTTTTTTAGTTATGTGATTCTTCAGGCTTATCTTGGATATATTTTTTAGTAAAAACCGATTTTTTTTTCAGTTATTTTTTTTTCATAAAGCCTAATTAGTTCTCTACAACTCTTTCTTAGCCAATTTTTGTCGACAACCCACTACATTTTGTTAATAATGTGTATGTGAAAACATATAGGCATTTTTCAAAAATTAGTCTTGAGCCATAATTGTCTTCTCCACCTGTATGTCACCTGAGCTCAGTGACCGACCGTTTTGACGTGGAATCGGTTATAAATCAATAAAGCCTTAATTTTCAGTTCACACGCCCTGGTAGTATTGTACTGAAAGCTTTTAAAGTTATAAAACTTGCTACTTACCTTGGCTATCTGCCGGATTTCCACAATGGCATACCCTACCATGCCAAGAGAAAGAATCGCTAAAAGAACGTAGAGCTTCATTCGAGCGCACAGCTGTGTGGAGTAAGCGTAGGCAATAACGAAACCAGCAGATTCCCATAAACGATAGTTGGAGAAGGCGGCTTCCTTGTTTCGTCGGAAGAGGGCTCCATAAATACCTTGAAATAAAATGTCGGTTATATATATTTATAACAAATGAATAAGCGTAATTTAATACCATTGATTTGGGTTTGCCACACAGCATCTCCAACTCCCCACAGGCCAGAAATGGCGTAGAATACAATTGCATGATCCGGATGAGGCTTCCAAAAGAGGCAGTAGAGGATAACTCCACCGTGAACGAGGGCGCCTATAAAGTAGTGTGTTAATTTGTTACCAGCGTGCATGTAAATTTAGAAAGTTACCCATCATAATAATTGGAATACGACCAATATATTTCATAATCGATCCGAAGATGATTGAACAAATGGCGTTGACCACACCGAAGCAAATCATTACATAACCGATTTGATGAATTCCAAGAGCACATGACACATAGGCCTGGGTGAATTCAGCTCCAATGAAGGCTTGCTCCATGCCGATGAACACCGTAATCAGAATCAGCAGCTGCTGGTTAATTTTCTTAAGCTGCTTGAACGTAGCCGACAGTAGTTGTACACCAGAAACTTCAATTGCGGAGATTGAACCACGTCGCCTCTCACCATACCTTGGGTCGAGAAAGGACATGTTAAAATTTATCTCATTTTTTGACACATTCTGCGAAACCTACCGAGAAAGAGGATCCATAAACAAGGCAATAATAATGACGGCTGCAACGATGCAAGACAGATAGATAGCGGAGATTTCGTAGATTTCATGGTCTGGAGGTCGCTGCAAGTTGGCATTATCGTCGGTTTCAACAACGCAAAAGTTGGCCCCACACTTGGCCAATGCATGATCATTTAAATTCGTATCATTACCACTATGCACTGGAGTACCTCCATGAGCTCCACTGGAAAGAACTAGAAAAAATAAACAGTGACTTTGATTGAAACTGCTGCCTTGTTTGGTATGAGCAATTAACTAACCCAAGCTAGAGATTAAATTTCCCCACAGCTCCGCAGTTTGCCAGGCCAGGAAGAAGAATCCGAAGAACCGCACAATGATAGCTTCCACTGATTGTTCTGTCAGCTTGGCATAAACCTGTCCAAGCTGGGTCAGATATGTGGCTTTACTGGCCCACATAGGCGCAGCACCTAGACCGACCAGTATACCAGCGGGGACAAGCGTGTAGAATGTGGGATAAAACTGAGCGGCAATATACGGAGCATAGCATAGCATGCTCACACAGAGAGTCCATTTGACAGTTAGCTTCCTAATCACCAACGTGGGTAGGAAAATGCAGGATACCACGAGCGCAGCATAGATCGCGCTAAGCGACACTGTTCCCAGCCCATCCTTTGCGTTGATCGACGATTGAAGGTTTGCCGTTCCCTGTTTAAGTAGAACGTAACATGGTGAAACTCACAACACAACGAAAAAAAAATATGGCTTACTTGAAACGCCGTAAATTGCACCATGAAAGCGATCGACACTGTGGTGATATTTTTCAAAATACGCCATTTTTCACTCGTATTTACGGTGACTTTATCTCGCAAGGAAACGGTGTCGTTCTGGAAAATAAAAACAAAATCAAAAATATTTATTGTAAAATAACAATTCATGATTAAAGACAGTGCAACAAACCTTGTCTGGATCGAATCCTCCATGCATTTTGGAGCGGGTATTTTATTACATCTGCAAAATAAATTGAAATTTTTATTAAATTTATGTCTGTTAAATAGGGTTCTTAACATTTGTAAAGTATAAACACAGCACTGTAAATTGGTATAACTAAAATAAAACAGGCTATACCCAGAAAGGGAAGAATGGTCTATTAAGCACAACCCGCCCTTAGTCTTTCCTAATCTAGCGCAGTTTAGCACCAAACGGAATGTTATTATTACTGATGGCTTCCAAATTTATTTGCCTTTCCGTATGTACCGTAAGATTTGATAAAGAGAAACCAATCGTTGAAATATTGGCAAAAGTCTAACACTGTTGCTTGATTTTAAACTCGGCCTAACGCATTGAAACGCCAATGAATTCACTTCGGCCTATCGGATGAAGATAAAAATTGATTCGGTCGGAGCGTTTCTTTTGGTTTTGGGAATAATGGGTGCAAACCTTCATATCACGCGTTCTAATTGACTTCGTTCCGTAGCTTATTAACTAAAGTATCGTACCAAACGCATAACTGACTTGTTAACTCTGAAATCAAGAATTTATTTGAAGTTTTCTGCTCCATAGGCCCAAAATGGGCGATTAGGCTGAAGTAGTTCTCTACCCTATTGAAATACTAAACACTTGTATGAAAAGTCGATTGCTGTTAATGGCTGGCAGCCATACAGCAATACCATCTTCTTCTTATTATTCGCATTTCAAGCTTACTGCTTAGCGCATATTAGCTTATTGCGTACTCTCAACTTAGTGTTCTTAATGTTGGTAATGTTCGATGCCAATACCAATGCATGAATTTGTATATCGTGTGGCTATGCCCAGGGAAGTTGAGAAAATTTCCAACCCGAAAGATTCCCTCGACCGGACCATGCTGGAGGTGATTGCATGTTTCTCCCGGTTAGGTAAAGGCATTTTTTGGGTTGGAAAATTTTTCGACTTCTTTGGACATAGAGTATCATTGTAATTGCCATACAAATTACAAATGCAAAAACTGTGTAGACTTTGAAAGCTCTCAATCAAGAACTGTGAATAATAAGTTAGGATCACCTAACGAATGAATCATTTTTTCATATCATTTTGGCCTTCATCCGTATGAGGAAGTAAATCCGATGACGTTCCTAAGTATTTGTACGAGATCAAAATCTGTAGACAAAATTTTGAATTGATGGAGCAGTGAAGTATTTTAACAAAATATTATCAATTTGTGACACCTTTTTGTTTTTCCTTGATTTGTTTTCCGTCGATCTTGTTTTCTGTACTGAGTACCAATGCTACCGACGCCAGATACCACACCTGGACTCTACCTATCCACCCATCGACTCATGAACCGGGGACCAACGGCTTTACTTCCCTTTTGAAGGAAGGCGGGATCAGAGATGTTAAGCCTCAGAAAATCCCGGTGGCGCTGACTGGGATTGAACACAGGCCTTTTGGGGTGAGAGGCAATCACGCTTACCACTATACCACCGGCGCTGCTAATTTGTGAATCCTTATCAAATCCCAAATGCATATGGAAAGATAAATAAATTTAGAAGTCTTTAGAAAAAACACTCCAATTTCGGAAAATATCCGCTCGAAAAAGAGAGGAAACGTGCGAGTTGTGAGTAGGCCGAAAATTAGATCATAACCCTATCTTTGCAACTACATCAGCTAGAAAGTCACCATCTTCAGTAAATTTTTTTTTAAAGAAATGCCCTCTACAACTTTGCACAACAAAGCGGCTTGCTTTTAGCATGTCTTTTAAAAAAATATGTTTTTATCTCACTTCATCTCTAAACGCTTAACGCCTCAAAAAAAGTTTGTTTTTTTTTGCAGTTGGTTGGAAATGATATCTAACATGAAGCTTTAGTGTGATAATTTATTACCTACAGAAAGGTCTGAAGAGGGTAGATAGATGTTTCCGCTAGAGTACGGCAGTATGAAAATTGAATAGAAGTTGAAAATGAGCGAAGGGCCATTAATGCGACAGTACTATTCAAACGCGCACATTTTTACCTAACTCATACATTCAATCCATACAATGGACTTCAAATTTTCAAAAAAAAAATATCGATGTACCCATCTGCGGTCATTATGTCATGAATTTGGGTCAGATTCTCTACACACTTAAATCTTTTCGCCGAGATTCCAACAGCCGAGCAGTTCTGCAATATATTTTGCTGAGATTCAGTAAAACATTTGCCGAGACTCAGCTAACAAATAACATTTTGCTGAGATATCAGCTGACAAACAGATATTTTGAAGAGATATCAGCAAAAATAAATGCCGAGGTATTTGGCTGTTGGAGATTTTACCGAGCTAGATTAAGTGTGTACGGAAAACCATGAGAAACAGCCCAAACCATAACATTTCCTCCGCAATGTGTCATGGTTGGTTGGAGATGTCTCTTCTAGCGCCTCATCGCTTTTCCGCCATCCTAAACAACGCGTTTGCTGGTATCGACTGGGATCTTCTACTGCAAAACAGAACAGTGGACGAAACACTTGCAGTTTTTTATGAAAAGCTGTACGAAGTTTTTATCGAGCATGTACCTCGGAAAAGGCGACCCATTACCTCAGTTCTCAGCAAACCATGGTGGACTACCGAGCTGAGACATCTCATCATCAATAATCTCAGGAAATCACGCAAATGGTTCTTCTTAACAAGGACTGATAGCGACAAAGTTAACCTCCGCGAAGTGGAAGCGTCGTACAAGGAACTTCTTTTCTCGTCATATAGAAACTATGTATCGGGAATTGAATCTTGTGTGAAACAAAACCTTGCTTCTTTCTGGGATTTTGTTAGGAAACAGAAATCTTCCACCCGGATTCCATGTAACGTTCAATACGACGGAACTCATGCTTGCACCAACGCTGAAGCTGCTGACCTGTTTGCGACGTTCTTCAAGAGTGTGTTCACTAATGTGTCACCTGTACTTCGACATGACAGCTTTGCCCATATTATTACACATAACATCACGCTTCCTGTCCTCCAGTTTTCTTCAGAGGAAATTCAAAAATCTCTTGAAGATGTAGAAACGAACAAAGGGCCTGGGACAGACGGCATTCCTCCACTATTATTGAAAAAAATGTTCGTCCACACTAACATCTCCAATCGCTCGATTGTTCAACCGTTCGCTGCAGGACAGGACTTTTCCAACTGCGTGGAAAACGGCATCGATAGTACCAATCCATAAATCTGGCAGCTGTAATCGCGTGGATAATTATCGTGGGGTGTCTAAACTTTGCTGCCTAAGCAAGGTTTTGGAAAAGTTGGTCCACAAGGTCTTGTATATTTAATGCCTCTTCCTCGATTATCTCGGAGAGCCAGCACGGGTTCATGAAACACCGGTCTACAACAACAAATCTGATGTGTCTGATGTAAACTGTCTCGTGAAATTGAACAAAGAAGGCAAATAGACGCGGTGTATTTTGATTTTGCTAAAGCGTTCGATACTGTACCGCACATTCTAGTCACTCATAAAATGAGGTAGATAGGATTCCCCGATTGGATAACAGAGTGGCTTTTGTCGTACTTATCGAATCGAAATGCTTATGAGGCTGTTAACTCTGCACGATCCTATTCATTCAACATCATGTCTGGTGTACCGCAAGGTAGCGTTCTCGGTCCTCTAATCTTCAACATTTTTAATAACGACCTGTGCATACTACTTTCATCATTCAAACTTTCCTTTGCCGATGATCTCAAAGTGTATCGCATCATTGCCTCGTCTTTAGACTGTGACGCTTTGCAGGAGGTTATAAACGTCATGCTTATCTGGTGCGGTGACAACGGCATGCGCGTTAACAGCAAGAAGTGCAAGATAATATCTTTCACTCGCTGTATTGGTCAAACTCACCATCAGTACTATATGGACGCAGAGACACTCGAACGGGTAAATTCGATCTGCGATCTGGGAGTCACCATCGATCCAAAACTGAGGTTTAACGATCATGTAGGGATTATATCAGCCAAAGATTTTTCGGTATTAGGATTCATCCGTCGACACGCTTCTGACTTCACCGATGTATATGCTATAAAAACACTCTACTGTTCGTTGGTGCGCAGTATCCTGGAGTACGCTGCACCAGTTTGGTCGCCGTATTACGTAACACAGACTCTGACGATCGAACGTGTGCAGAAAAGGTTCATAAGATTCGCTCTTCGTCAACTTCCTTGGAACGATCCAGAAAAATCTTCCTCCCTATGTCGATCGATGCCAGCTGATTAAACTCGAACCTCTTTCTGTCAGGCGAGTCAGCATGCAACGCTTGTTTGTCTTTGACCTCATCAAAGGATCCATCGATTGTCCTGCACTTCTCGAACAGATTCCACTGAATGCTCCACTCAGACGCTTCCGCCACTCGCCACTCCTAGCGGTTCCTTATCATAGGACAAACTACGGCCATAATAATCCATTCGACTCGTGTCTTCGAGCATTCAATGACGTTAGCGATGAGTTCGATTTGAATGTGTCTAAAAATGTGTTTAGTAATAGGATTAAAGATAATTATAAGTTAAAAATAATAAGTTAATAATAATAATAAGTTTTATTATACGACTAAGTCGAAGATGGTGTAATAAATAAATAAATATTCTTAGATGTCGTTTCTTGTTGAACACCTCGAACTTTGATTAATCCAACCAGATAACACGTTTCCAGAATTACAGAGGCTTGTTAATGTGATTCCTTGCGAAGATCAGCCATTTTCTCTTGTTGGCCTGGTAAATGGTAGCTTCCGAGCAAAATGGCTCTTCATTTTGGCAAAATGGCTGCAATGCGTCGCCAAAATGGTTCGATCAGAAATCGACAGATTCATTCTTTCTTCATCACTGCGCGGATGGTGATGCGTGGATTTTTCTTAATCTCACGGATTATGTCTGTTCGTGGATCACTTTTTCTTTGTTGTCCTCTTCCATATTAATCAGCAAGCAATTTATACTTCAAATAGATCTTCTGAACTGCACCACGACTTATCCCATACTTTTCGGCTATTTTGCGATCCGATACGTTTTTCAAACACGCACGATGAGGACCT